GTCTAGAATTGGAGAAGGCCAATGGACACGCATTTCTGAGGATCTTGCCTCAAGTATTTATTGATGAGCAAACCTAATAATTCCTCTTTTTTTCTTCAACCCTCAATAGAGTGCTTGCATGTAGCAGATACTCAATAAATGAGGCAGAAACATTAAATTTAAAGAACTCCTGACACAGACAGGGAGGAAAGCAAACAGGGAAGAAGTCATGTCCGAGAGGTAGATAATGCCCTAAGGGGAGGGGAGGAAGCACATGACCAACTGATGCAGGCACATGTCACCACTACTAGAATTAAGAAGACAGAGATTGAGCGTGGTGGCTCATGCCTGTAATCCCAGTACTTTGGGAGGCCAAGGCAGGTGGATCACCTGAGATCAGGAGTTAGAGACCAGCCTGACCAATATGGTGAAACACGATCTCTACCAAAAATGCAAAAGTTAGCCACTATGCCTTGCCCCTGTAATCCCAGCTGCTCGTGAGGCTGGGGCAGGAGAACTGCTTGAACCTGGAAGGTGGAGGCTGCAGTGAGTGAGATCACACCACTGCACCCCAGCCTCAGTGACAGAGTGAGGTCTGGTCTCAAAAAAAAAAAAAAAGAGGCCGGGCACCGTGGCTCAAGCCTGTAATCCCAGCACTTTGGGAGGCCGAGGCGGGTGGATCACGAGGTCAAGAGATCGAGACCATCCTGGTCAACATGGTGAAACCCCGTCTCTACCAAAAATACAAAAAATTAGCTGGGCATGGTGGTGCGTGCCTGTAATCCCAGCTACTCAGGAGGCTGAGGCAGGAGAATTGCCTGAACCCAGGAGGTGGAGGTTGCGGTGAGCCGAGATGGCGCCATTGCACTCCAGCGTGGGTAACATGAGTGAAACTCCGTCTCAGGAAAAAAAAAAAAAAAAAAAGGAAGAAGACAGAGACATGGATGGAATCACTGGGAACAGGTTCCAAAAGGAGAAGAATATCTGCTGAGTTTGGAAGACTACAGGTAGACTTGCTTTTGGTTGGTAGAGAAAAGGGGAGAGGATACATCAGGCAGAGGAAACAAAGAACAAAAGCTCAGAGCAGGATGGGAAAGGCAAGGTTCAGAAAGAGGTGGACGTAGAGGGAGGTGGATCTGGCAGCAGCAATGAACAAGACTGGAGGCAGGGATGTGGATAGGCCGCTGCGGGGACCCAGACACGGAGGGAGGAGGCCTGCAATGAGGTGTGGACTATGCAGATGAGATCAAGGTGAAAACCAGAGCCAAATCAAAAGGAAGAATCACAAAAGAATCCAAAGGGAATCAAAGACCAGATCACAGAGAATAATAAATAAAAGACAACAACAGAGGAAGTGGCGATTTTCTATGAATTCTCAGAGGCATGGATTCTTTCTGTGGCCTACTGATGACCAAACCTTGTCCAGCAAATGCCCAGGGCCTAGAAGCCAGTAATTCTGATGTGTGCATCCTACAAACCCTGTGGAGTTGTCTTCCTCATCTCAGCCCCGCTTCATCTGTCTTTTACTCCCTTCCCTTCGTGAGAAAATAGGGAAGAGCTCTTCCCCTCCAGATTTTCAGTGCCTTTCGCTGCAGGCAGCCACCCAGGTATCTGAGAACATGCTACCCTCTCCCATATCAAAGATAAGTACCTAATGAACTCAAGCATATAAGAAATCAGGTGCTTACTTCTCATAGGACATCTGCATTTTAAAGGAACCCTAACCCAGATTCTTAGATTCCCAGTAGGTGTCTCCAGGGTTTCCTACCAGCTGCATGCCTGGGAGGGGATTGAGAGGGGAACACACAGTCTTTGGGCTCAGGGAACTTACAATTTAGTAGTTGAAAAGGCCATTCTTGTCTGTTTTGTACTTACCTTTTCCAGCAAGGAGTAGAAGTCCTATATAGTTAGAGACCTATGTTTGGGGTAGTTATAAACATGGGCTCAGAGACAGAGAGACCTAGGTACCAATCCCAGCTCCACCACTTAACAGCTAAGAAACTTTGGGCAAGTTTCTTCATGTCTCTGAGCCTCAGTTTTTCTCCTCCAGGAAATGAAAGCACTAAATGAGATCACCCATACAATGGGCTCAGTACAGTGGCACTTGTTATATATTCAATACCTAGCTGCTAAGATGTGCCAGGAAATACCAGAGGCCGCTATTGGCTTTAGAAAGTGCAGACTAAAAATCAAAGAACAAGAAGACATCTCCCAGACCCTAGAGGCTAAGTGAGTTTCTGTTTTTAATTTTCTTGTTCCAATTACGTATTTACAGATGAAGAAACCTAGGCACTTTCTTATTCTGTCTTGTTTCATCTTATAGGATATGGGGGTGGAAGATGGCATCAACATTTATTGAGCATCTATATTAAGTCCAGCATGGAGGTAGGCATTGCCATAGTTTGTCTCTTTTAATCCTTGCAACAACCCCAAAAGCTATAAATGTTTACCCCAGATTAGGATGAGACGGTAAAAAAAGGCTGAGGTTGTGAATCTTGCCGAAGGTCATATAATTAATAAAGTGCAGAGCTAGGATTCAAACCCAGGTCTCTCCAGTCACCATATGCTGCTTCCTAGGTCCTGACTTGAGTCAGACCTTAACCCCAGGCACCTGGGAATCCTTCCATAGACACACCAAGATAAGATTTTATCTCAGCTTTTAAATTTGGGACTCTAAAAAGCTTGGCTGATGCAACAAACCCTTTGATGATTTATTCAAATATTTCTGGCTGCCCCATCAAGCCTATCAGGAAGATGCCTGGGCTGAGATTGGAGCTGCTAGTCGGTCTGAACCCAGACCTCCTACCAGGCACTGAAGTGTCCTCAGTTCATGGCCTGGAAAATGAAATGGAAGGAGCCCTAAGATTCTATTTTTTTGATTTCCCTAAACCTTAAATATACCTTCTCTCTGAGAGAACATATTAATATTAAAACCCACCAACATTTTTACTTCCTTTGAAAGATTATCTTAAAGAGTGAACCCACCTACCCACTATCCTCATCCAATGGAATCAGCTGGCCCAGTCTTTGTTGGAGATTAATAACAATAATATACTAACGATAGCTAACATTCATTGAGTACTGAGCAAGGTACTATCCTCCAAAAACCCAAAGAAATGCATCATATCATTAGCCCCACTTTATTGATGAGAAAACTGAGGTTTAGAGGGTTAGGTAGGCTAGCCATGATCAGGCAACTGATTAGTGCCAGAGACAGAATCCAAGCCAGGAACACTTTACTTATGAGCCCATGCTCTTCTCTCTGCATCATGCTCTCCCTAGCAAACTTCCCACTCCTTCTCTGCCTCCCAAAATGACCAGAACACCTCTGCTCTCCCAGACAGCATGTCAGTTCCTCCTGAGACCATGGAGCCTGTCTAAAGAACACACCAGACCAAGGCACTTTCCTACTGACGTGGACGTGTGTTCTCCCAGACATTTCACCCACTCAGCCCAGGCCTTAAGGAGGTTTAAAAGCTAAAAATGGTCTGGTTTTCAAAAATGAACCCATCAGATACAATATCATTGGGAGTACATTGTGTGTACATTTAAAAGGTAAGATAGAAAACTGTATATATACTTTGATCATTATTTTATTATTTTATTTATTTATTTTTTGAGATGGTATCTTGCTCTGTTGCTCAGGGTGGAGTACAGTGGTGCGATTTCAGCTCACTGCAACCTCTGCTTGGTTTAAGCAATTCTCCTGCCTCAGCCTTCTGAGTAGCTGGGACTACAGGTGTGTGCCATCACACCCAGCTAATTTTTGTATTTTTAGTAGAGATGGAGTTTCACCATATTGGCCAGGCTGGTCTTAAACTCCTGACCTCATGATCCACCCGCCTCAGCCTCCCAAAGTGCTGGGATTACAGGTGTAAGCCAACGTGCCCAGTCCTGATCATAATTTTTTAAAAATTGTATATTGCATCCAGAAAAAATAGGGTGCAAAAGGTTCCTAGTGGCTATCTGTGAATGATAAGATGATGGATGGGTTTTTATTTCGTTAATGTTTCCAACTTTCTTCAACAAAAATGAAGTCATTTTTACAATCAGAAACAAAAAGTTGCTAAAATAAGCTAATTGACCAAAAAGAAAAAAAAAAAGTCCATGTGATTCAGAGTAAGAACAAGGAACTACTTAATCTATAAAGTAACTTCATTGGCACATGTTCCATTTTCTTGCTACTTACACACCATGCCCTGGTCATGAACATCCACCTTCATCTAGTTCCACTCGGTTTTCCAGCCTGCTTCTATGCTGAGAAAAGAATGTTAGTGTTGGGAGTGAATTACCTTAACACATCCACGGCCCCTTTCCAGCCCAAGGCATAGCCTTCTGCAGAGGGAAGGTTTAATTACCAAAAGCTCTGTGACACAGTTAGCACTATTTTTGGCTGGCAGGCAGGGCAGGTTAGCTCTTTATCCATCCCTGCCTTGGCTGAGCCCCAGAGGTCACAGAGAGAGAGCATGTTCACCATCTCAGGGCCAAGCCTATCTTTTTAGAAGCCATTCCAATGCTGCCTCCTGAGAAAGCAGCAAGGCCCCAGTTCCCGTTTGCAGTGGAGTGGCACAATTTCTCCTCATGGTAGTCTCACCCCTGTCTAGAACTGCAAGCTGTTTCGGGGTATGCTGCACTGCATTGAGAGAGAGCTGCCCTTGTTTTCTAATCCACCTTACTGGGTACATTGCAGAGGGTTAGGCTGAGATGGTCGGCAGTGAGCTCATGCATGGCTAAACTGCACCATGAAAGAAATGAATGAGATGGGAACTCAAGGGAATTGGGAATAAATGAATGGGAACTCAAGGGATTGGGAATCAAGGAGCTAGGGAGGAAAGAGGAGGGGTATGAGCAGGAAGCAAGAGATTCTATCAATATGGTGGGGAAGCACGTGCCTGGGCAGCAGAGGTGGCCAAGGAAAACTCTCCCAGCTGGCAGCAGTGACCACAAGAAACCTCAGTAGAAAAACAGTGACAATAATAGCAATAATCATTTCAAAACCAGCTCTGAATTTTGATATCTTCTGTCCTTGCTTCTAAGATAGGCTTTTTTTTTTTTAAGATTTAATGTTTCTGAAATTGGGATGCATTTTATAATCAATATAGACATTTATCTACTATGGTATTTATCTTTTTACTTGAAAAACTATTATTACATTGTGAGTGCAATTTACAACTAAGGGTGACTTAGAACGGAGTGAATGTGGCTGTTTAGAAACCTTCTGATAGAGACAGATGGAGTTGGGCTGATATTCTCCTTTCCTTGTCTCTTTAATCTTAAGGTTTCCACTCCCTTAACCATTCATACAAATGCACAGAAGCAATGCCTCAGCTTCTCTTCTTCACTTGGCAGACTCCTGCTCATCCTTCCAATCTTGAATCAAATGCTGCTTCCTCCAGGAGGCCCCCCTGACCTAACTGAACAAGTCTAACTCCCCTGTTGTTCCGTGTGATTGATGGATGTGCATCATCCCCCTAGACTGTACCCTTCTTGAGAAGAGAACTCGACCTTGTTTCCTCACTGCTAAATCACCCATTAAGAGCACAATAGGATTTTCAGTAAATCTTTGCTGCATTAAAAAATGTGAGTCTCTAATAGAGAGCCTGAAGACAAATGATTGATTCCCACGTCAGATGATCAAAAGTTTCTTTCAATTATCCTTGGCAAATATCCCTAACAGTAAGGGTGGACATAAGCTAGACCTTCAGAAAAGAAGAAAGTCTTGCCACCTTTCTATCATCAACAGATCATGTTGATATTTAATTAAATGCATGTTAAACAGTATTTAGGCATTTATTATTATTTGTGCTTTTTGCCCTACTGGTTCCCGGTGAATCCTTACTCCTATTTAAATTACAAGCCAAAGCCTCCCTTGAAAGGATGTTAAGTAAATAAAGAGTATGACCATAGCACTTAGTGCAGTATTAACATACATTTTACACTTTAAGGAGGGAAAATTTCAACAGACAGCACCATTAGAATGGTACTACTGGTTAAAAATCCTATAATCCTAGCAAATACTGAGAACAGCTTCATGCCTAGAAGGGTCTCTAGAAACCCTTGGGTCTGACCATTTTACAGATAGAAGGCCAAGACACAAATCTACTACCAAAGGGCAAAGGTATCCTATTAGTGGCATACTGGGACAAGAGACCTCCTGAAATAAAAAGAAAATCTTAGCTGGGCTTAGTGGCTCCTGTCTGTAATCCCAAGGCTTTGGGAGGCTGAGGCAAGAGGATTGGTTGGGACCAGGAGTTCAAGACCAGCCTGGTCAATATAACAAGATCCTGAATCTACAAAAAATAATTTTAAAAAATTAGCCACGCATGGTGGTGCACACCTGGAGTCTCCACTACCAGGAAGTCTGAGGAGGAGGAATTCCTTGAGCCCAGGAGTTCCAGGCTGCAGTGGACTATGATCACACTGACATTACTCAACCTATGTGACAGGAGACTATGCTTCTTAAAAAAAAAAGTCCTGAGATCAAAGGATCTGTATTGGCCCACCTCTTCCGATGTTTCTTTTTTGCCCTAACACAGTGGTTCTGAGCCAGGGGCAATTCTGTAATGTCTGGACACATTTTTGGTTGCCACTACCAGAGGAAGAGGTGCTATTAGTAAGTAGAGGCCAGGGATGCTGCAAATCATCCCCCACAACAAAGAATTATTTTGCCCCAAATGCCAGTAGGGCCAAGGTTGAGAAACCCTATCCCAACAGATGGCAGGGAGGCAGAAGGGGCCATCCCTGAGCAACTGCTCACACTTCTCATCCCCAACTGCCCCCACCTCTGTCACTGAAGAACACATCTGAGATTTTGCCCCACATACTGAAGTATGTGCCTACTCTCATGGACACAAATAGATATCAGAAGACTGGCCTAGCCCCAACAGAAGCATGACACATCTTCCACAAGCAGGAATCTTTCTGAATTTCCTCAACTCTAATTATACATTTTTCCATGTTTTAACATTTCTGAAAATGGAATGTGTCTCATAATGAATGTAGTTTCCCTTACCCCAATGCTGTTATAAAATTTCTTATAAACGATCACATTTATAATCAGAGAAACATGGTAGTTTAAATCATAATGTATACATAGAAATACAAACAAATGATAAAGCATGATGTAAAATTTGCTTGGTTTCCAAGGATGAAACACAAGGCTTCAAATAATTTTTCCCTTGTGGCAGCCCCTTTGGCTAATGTGAGAGTTCAAACTCTTCCACCTTGTTGGTAGAGAGACCTAAAGCATGATAGACTTTACTCTCAGGATGAAAGAAGACCAAAGGTAAGAATGTCTGTGGATGAGACCAACTATGGTGAGCTCACTTTCAGAATCTCAGCAACAGAAAGACTTGATCTCCCTCCTCCCAACCCTTCACCACCTCCTCCCACATCTTCACTCCTCTAATCCTCCATGGCTTTTTTCTATGTTTTTCCATAATTTGCACCAGTTTTGGTGATTAGCTCTTGGGAGTGTACTGGAGCTCACTGGGAAAGAAGCATCCATGGGTCCTGCCTGCTGTCTGCCTTGTTTCACCTCATGTCTGCTGCAAAACATCAGGAAGTGGTCAACACACCAGCTGTAGAGGGAGTGAGGCCAGTTTGAAATCCAGTCTTAACATCTTAGCTGGTCAGGTGTGGTGGCTTATACCTGTAATCCCAGCACTCTGGGAGGCCAAGGTAGGCAGACCACTTGAGGTCAGGAGTTCAAGACTGGCCTGGTCAACATGGTGAAACCCCATTTCTACTAAAAATATAAAAATTAGCTGGGCATGGTGGTGGGTGCCTGAAATCCCAACTACTTGGGAAGCTGAGTCAGGAGAACCACTTGAACACAGGAGGCAGAGGTGGCAGTGAGCCAGATCATCACAGTGCACTCCAGCCTGGGCAACAGAGCATGACTCCATCTCAAAAAATGAAAAATCTTAGCTGATGGTCTCTTTGAACAACTTAGGTGACTCTGTGAGCCTTAGTTACTTCCTATGTAAGGCATAGCAGATAGATAACAACATGGTCCACTACAGAGCTGTTTTTCTCTTTAATTACAAAAAAAATAGTTATGTGAAATACATGGTACATGGCCAACTTCCCATGACAGTTGATGTGGTCTTCTGAGCAGGTTGTAGGATGTCTAGCAGTAATGATTCTAAAGATTTCATAGCTTTGTACTTAGCTACACTTTGGGAGTTCCTGAATGAATTGAATGCCATCAAATACACCTAGATTGGGGGACCCCATGGTGTTTTTTTTAAACAAATTCATCCTCACAAACTTATAATCAACCCATACGATATCACTAATTGATTTTGAACGGTGATGTTATGGCAGGTGTTGGTTTGTTCTATAAAATTTTTGGGAATAAAATCTTTGATCTAATTGGTATCCCCAGATGGTAGAAAGTCTTAGTCGAAAATCTACTAATATTCCTGGGCATCTCTGTCCATGCATTATGCCAGTGTACTTGCTAAGTTGGCTAAGACTCTAGGCAACTCCCAGCTCTCCCCTGGAACCTTAGGCAGAAGGCCCTTGGTTACAATGTGGGTAAAAGTGGGGTGCATTCCAAGACAGCTACTTTCAGTCAAGAATATAATGTATCTTTTCTCTGTGGCAGCAAAATTCAAGGCTCCTTCTCAGATACTTGAAATTATTTCTGAGGGTCCGGAATATTCCTTTGCTCTTGTCGTTTAGGCTTATCTTGAAACATTTAGACTAAGTAAGTGAATGGCACTGACAGATGTAAAATGTCTTACAATTTAGAGAGTGTATTAAGAAAAATGAGGGGAAATGAGAATAAAAGCAATCCTTATTCTTTTAAATATAAAGTCATTATATGAATTTTATTACATAAAAATGTAAAACTAATTTTCTATAACACATTATTTAAGTATTGTTATTTCAGGCAATAATTAACTTTTTACTCATTTGATTTATACATTTTCTATTGCAAGCATTGGATCTCTTATTATAAAAAGGTAAGCATTTTTTAAAAGCAAATTCAAATCCATTAATTTTAGATCTCTATTAAAGGCAGAAAACCTAAATCAATAACTTAAATCAGACAGGAGTGGGCTTTTTGCAAACAAGTACATTCAGACATCATGGATAGCAGGCTTCATGTTTCTCAAAATGGGTATTACTCATTATAAATCTGTTCATGTTCGTGAACCTGATGGCTTCATTTTGGGAATACGGTGCATGGAACAATCTCTAAGTAAAATAAATGCAATACAAAGATGGTCATTTGCAGCACTATTTATGAAATAAGAAAACTGGAAACATCCAAGTTCAATTCCTGCAAAATAGTTAAGCAAATGACACCACAGCAGTAGTGAAGTATAACAGAGCCATTAAAAGGTAGAATTCCTTACCCATATTCTCAAATGGCAATCTACTGCATGTACATAAAGCTGGGCATAGTCAGATCCTATATATTGTCCACACAATATAAGAGTGACCATTAGGACAACAACCAGGGCTAGAAAAAAATTTAGAATAAGAATTTTATAGTATATTAAAAAGGTTTAAGTTCCTTTTCTTAAAAAAAAAAAAAAAAAAAAAAAAAGTCGGGCAGGCTGGGCACAGTGGCTCATGCCTGTAAACCCAGAGCTTTGGGAGGCCAAGGCAGGCAGATCACTAGGTCAAGAGACTGAGACCAGCCTGGCCAAACCCCATCTCTACTAAAAATACAAAAATTAGCTGGGCAAGGTGGCATGTGCCTGTAGTCTTAGCTACTCGGGAGGCTGAGGCAGGAGAACAGCTGAGATCACACCACTGCACTCCAGTCTGGCGACAGAATGCAATTCCATTTCAAAAAAAAAAAAAGACGGGCTGCTTAGAAAACAGATATAAAGTACGTAACATGATCTCAAATATATACTGAGGTATGTTATGACTAGAAGGGGATATAACATTTCAACACTGATTATCTGCAGTTGAAAAAATTGCAGGTGACTTTGTCTCTTACGTATACATTTATATGTTTTAATACTTCTCTGCAATGAGCGTGTAGAACTTTTGTGGTCATAATATAAATTGCCTTTTTAAAAGCTGAAACTATAAACAAATGACCTTCAAGGAACTCATTTTAAACAGTAAGGAGAAATAGGCCAAAATGTGAACAGAATGAGTAATTTATATTATGACAGTAAGGAAAATTATCAGGTTCTTTACAACTTTGTATCATCCACATTGCCAAGCAAATACAGAAAGCCCTTGCTCAAATCCAATTTTTCAAGACTTTCTCAATTTTTTCCGGTTTCCTGAGTTACTGCTATTTGCAGTTTCTGTTTCATTTGACTTCTTTTTTTTAAATCATCGTCTTGGACTTCTGAGAAGAGAAACTAACATGTAAAAGAATAGAGTACTGAATATTGTCCCACTTCTGGTAAATCCTAAAGCTGCACACAGAACCTAGTGAACACTGAATAATGTGTTGAGGGAATAAATAAGTACTGGCCATTTTTTTTCCAATAATGGGAGAAAAGAAAGAGTAATTTGAAGGAATAAATAAATATCAAGCAGGAGGCAGTGGTCATTGTAACACCCACATTCTGTGTTGCAAGAGGAAAGAGAAATACTTAACAAGAACCCAGAGTGTAACATGGGACCAAATACCTTATGCATTTAGTACTATTAAAAAATACCCTTTTCACCACAAAAGCCAGGCCTGCTAATTTTCCCACCAAATACAGGCAGCAGTGCAACATCACTGACACTTTTGCTGTAGATCTGTGGACCCAAGAGCTTTGACAGCAGGGTAAACTGGTTGACAATAAAATCTTAATCAAAGCCCTTTGCACTTGCAAGTGGAAATACAGGTATCACACAGCAGGGGAATGGCAGAGCAGGGATTCATGAAATTTTGTTTGTGTCGATTTCTTCACGGTAAGAGCTGAAGACATGAACATTAGAACCTCTAGAAAGAGCATGATGCTTAATGCAGAGGACGTATTTATTAAGGACTGCATCACACACTACTGGGTGCTTCAATTCTTCAAGATGCACCCTTGAAGATTCTTCTTTCTCTACAGTATAGCAGGTGAGTGGTGATTTGGAAAAGTTGTATTTTTTTAAAATCAAAATCATGGATGATGATTTTGATTTTTTAAAAATACAGCTTTTCCAAAATACAGCTTTTCCAAGTCAGCACTCACCTGCTATACTGCAGAGAAAAAGCTCTTAACCACTTTAAAGTTCTCCTAGCCAGTGTTTTGATCTCAAGGACATCAAAAACTGTCCCAATGACAACTGTCATTTGGCTCGAGAGCCCAAGGTCACTGTTTGTTTGGGTGTTGTGTAATCATCAGAGTAAAATCATCATCAGTGTCACATTATCAATATGTTATTTAAGCACATTTAAAGGAAAATCATTCGATATGGAAAATAGAAATATCACCGATTCTTCCATTAATTCATTCAGCCTACCAAGTGCTTGGCTTACTGCTAGGCACCAGCATGCAGGGACCTGTGGATTTTATTCAGCATCCTAAGACATTTCAGAAACCAATTGTTTTTCCTGAAAATCAGATTCTATTTCCCAACTCTTACTCCTTTCTCTGAGCCTCAATGTTTCTAAGGAAGATCTGATTCATAGGAGGGAACTCACATTATTTCAGCTTCTGAGAAAAGCAAGTGTCTTTGCCAAATACCAAAATAGGCTCTCATGAGTGTCTTATAATAACCTATTTTCCTGCCTTTTCAATTCTCCTCCTTCTCCAGGAATGCAAACTGATTCCTCCCTTCTCAACACCCCTCACAACCCACCCTTATCCCACCCAAGATTTCTGACCTGACCATTCTCTCGGCTCCAGGGACGTGCTGGCCATGTAGTGCTGGAGTAAGCTCGGTCTTACATCACAGTCCGGCCACACCGCAGAGGAAAAGCTGTCAGGTGTTTTAAAGTTTACCTACCCAGTGTTTTGATGTCAAAGACGTCACAAACTGTCCTATTGATTGCTGTCATTCAGTTCGAGAGCCCAGGGTCACTGTTTGTTTGGATGTTGTGTAATTATGGGAGTTAAAGACATCATCAGTGTCATCTTTGGCCTTTGATTCCCTTTTCTTTTCTAAGGCAAGAGCTGTGACTGTTTCCTTCCCATGTTTTGTGAATTTCTACTCGGTTTCCCAGCAGCACGCAGATAAGCCCCGGAGCCTGTTGGTAGCTCTGACACCAGATGATCCTCCCTGGGTACCTACCTTCACTTCTCGAACACCATTCTTCCCACCCCAGAAACCATTAACCATTTCATCCCTGGAACACTTGTTCTTTGACATTTAACCCTGGCCCAGTAAAGTAATCAGTCTTTAACTTCTAAACCCCAATGTAGAAGAAACTAGCTCCTTTTAAGGCTCAGAGATGTCCCAGCTTCTGATCTTTTCTTGATGCTTAAATTCTAAATGTTCCACAGCTCAAGTTACTCCTTGATTTTATGGAAGGAACTCTCTTTGTTTTTTAATTAAATGTAAAATGAAAGGTAAACCTGTTGTTTTGAGGTAGGTTTGGACGCTGGTCTCCATGCCACCTCCCTTGGCTTCCATAATTCATAGCACCATTTCTCAGATATGCCTTTCAGAACACTAATCCTCCCAAATGCTCCTGCATTTATTTTATTTATTTATTTTTTTTTTGAGAAGGAGTCTCACTCTGTTACCCATGCTGGAGTGCTGTGCTGCAATCTTGGCTCACTGCAAACTCCACCTCCCCAGCTCAAGTGATTCTCCTGACTCAGCCTCCTGAGTAGCTGGGACTACAGGTGCCCATCACCATGCCCAACTAATTTTTGTATTTTTAGTAGAGATGGGGTTTCATCATGTTGGCCAGGCTGGTCTTGAACTCCTGACATCAAGTGATTCACCCACCTCACCCTTGCAAAGTGCTGAGATTATAGGCGTGAGCCACTGTGCCTGGCCTGCTCCTGCATTTTAAGGTGAAGGGGGTCAAATCAGATTGGACAGAGCTCCCCCCTTTTGGAGGCTAAGAATATACATTAGTTTATTAAAGGCTTTGAGAAGTTCTGCAGTGAAGAAACATTCAACTTGGTTTAACCAAGCCATATCCAAAGTTACCTAGAACATGTTTACTTTTTATTTTATTTTTCTTATGTAAGAACTATATAGATGTATGGATTTACTGATTTGAGGAACATACTCTGAAGCAATTGTCTTGTATGTAAAGATCAAGCTCCCTCACATAGTATACAAGGCCTTCTATGTTCAGGCTGGCCCAACCCCCACTGCTGGAGCAGGCTTTATTACTCGTTCCTCTTTTCTGCTTCCCCCATCCCTTGTCAGGCATCAAAATCTCCCATACTGTGGCAATCCTTTAAGTTAAAAAGGGGACAAATGGGTGAGAACACAGAGGACCCTGAGCCTAGGCTACAGAGTTGGATTTAGTCTTGTGGTAGAAAAGAATGAAGGCTTGTATCGTCTGGGTACGGTGGCTCACATCTGTAATGTCAGCACTTTGGGAGGCTGAGGCAAGAAGACTCCTTGAGCCTAGGAGTTCAAAACCACCCTGGACAACATGGCAAAACCTAGTTTTCTACAAAAATACAAAAATTAGCTGGTCATGGTGGTACATGCCTGTAGTCTCAACTCCTCTAAGGGCCGAGGTGGAGGATCACTTGAGCCTGGGAGGTCGAGGCTGCAGTGAGCCATGGTCACACGACTGCACTCAAGCCTGGGTGACAGACACAGTGAGACCCTATCTCAAAAAATAAATAAACAATTAAAGACTTTTGTCAGCAGATTGGTAGGATGCAGTCCGCAGTATAGAATTATTAATCTGACCAGAGGTTAGCACAGAGAATGGAGCTTCAGTTCTCAACTGGGATAGGTGATGATGGGGATCAGGCCAGGGGACTATTCAAACCATCATCTACTCCAGATAGCAGATGCCCAAGATGTTTTGCAGGTGACCTGATGCAGAGCTTGACTCTGCACGATCCCCACAGGTGTCTGAATCACTGAGACACACTCCTCACCATATCTGTGGCTCTTTCAAAGCTGTCTCTGGCCCCTCTCTGGGCCATTTCAATCCCAATCTGAAATTTTCATAGGAGAGATGACATCTGAGACAGGACTGTACTTCAGTTGGTTCCTAACAGCAGCCATAGATAAATATGTCAAAATAAAGAGTCCCATGGCCTGCAGTGGACATCTTTTGGAGCTCCACCTGGGATTCCAAT